TCAATTACTAAAGAACCAATTTGATTTTTTACATCAACGATTGCTGCATTTTTTTGCATTTCAATTTGCTGACGAGCTTCTAACATAATTTTGTTAGCTTCTTCTTTCGCTTGATCTTTCGCTTCGTTTATGATTTTATCTTTAGTTTCTTTAGCTTCTTTTAATAACAAAGAACGTTCTTCACGAGCTTGGTTTAACAAGTTTTCGTTTTCAGATTTCATTGAAGCCATTTCTGATTTCATTTTTTCTGCTGAAGCAATGCTATCTGCAATATTGCTTTCACGTTCGTTCAACGCTTCTAAAATTGGTTTCCAAGCAAATTTCTTTAATAAGAAAATTACGAATAATAAGGCGATTAACGTCCAAAAGAAGAGACCAAACCCAGGTAATAATAATTCCATTTTTCTTTTTTATTTTTTATTTAACCACAAAGTGCACAGAGTACACAAAGATTTTTAATTTTTAAATAAACTACACGCTTTGCCCTTTGCTCACGTGTAGTTTAATAATTTTTACTACGTTTAGTTTTTTATCTGCCGTTTGACAAGGTCATCCGACATCTAAATTACATAACGATAGCTAAGATACCAGCGATAACTCCGAAAAGAGCAACACCCTCAACAAGGGCAGCAGCAAGGATCATGTTAGAACGGATTTCTCCAGCCACTTCTGGTTGACGAGCGATAGATTCTAAAGCTCCTTTACCGATTTGACCTACTCCAATTCCAGCTGCTAAAGCTGCAATTCCAGCTCCAACTGCTCCACCTGCAGATGCGATACCTTCTAATAAAATGTTTAATACTGACATATATATTGGTTTTTAAAAAATTACGTAATTAATGATGATCATGTCCATGAGAATCATCGTGATGATGTTCTTCAATTGCTTGACCAATGAAAACGGCTGTTAAGTTTGTGAAAATAAATGCTTGAATTGCAGCTACTAATAACTCCAAGAAAAACATGAAGATACTGAAACCAACTGATACAGGTACAAATGCAATTCCTGCAATTTTGTTTAATCCTGCAAAAATAAATATCAACATAATGATACTTAAAATAATAGTGTGACCTGCAAAAATATTAGCGAACAAACGAATCGCTAATGCAATTGGTTTGATAAATAAATTACTCAAAATCTCAATTGGAACTAGAATAAATTTGATTCCTAATGGAACTCCTGGAGGATTGAAAATGTGACCCCAGAAATTTTTGTTTGAATTAACTAACATTACTATGAAGAAAATTAACGCTAATACTAATCTAACTGCAATATTTCCTGT